ACAAGTATTATTTTTCCTGAAGATTTCTACTTAAGAGTTTTTAAGTGCAATACATCAGGTAAAAAATGTCAGTCATGCTTAGTACAGCCATCTCCTTTTGTTTAAGTGTGATTGTGTCTTTTTTTTACCATGGTAAAAATATGCGTCTGTGTGTCTCTGTGTGGATGTTGATCTATTCTTTACCACATTCTGAAATAGCAAAGTGTCTTGACATTTTCCACAAAAGAAAAAAAAAGCAGTAACAGAAAAACCCAACAACTTTGGAATGAATTCATGGCTGGAATGTTTCTGGGGGGAAAAAAATTCACAGAAGATTATATTTCAAAAGAGGGTGATGAATAATGGAAAGTATGAACTGTGAAGTTCTATTATATCAGTTGTATTTAGGTTAACCTCATTTAATTTTTTAAAGCCCATAAATCCTTAAGAAATTTTAATCACATGATGGACCTATTTGTAAACTTACATACTGCCCTGAAGGAGACACTGATTGTTGTATTCCGTGGTGACTCATGTGCATCTCCGGTTCAGGCTGCCAGGAGTCAGAAAGCAAACTAAGTGGTATGATCTTGTATGAACTGTGATTACATTTCCAGTAGAGTTATCCTCAGGACACTCCACAGCATTTTTTTAACATACTGAGATATGAAAACTAAAAAGAGGGTGATATAAGCAGTCTTCAAATTTGAAACTTAGCACTGTTTTCTTTCATTCTGTGAAAAATAAAAGTTATATAGTCTAAACATATATACACACTTAACAGGAATATCCTATATTTTAGTTGTCCACTCCATGCAAAATAGTTATTGCAAAAATGCACACAAAAATCTTTGAGACATTATGTGAAAGCCCTTTTCCTTAATAAAGATACTACTATTACTTCTGAATTTTACTTCAAAATTCAAGTATCAACAACTTTACACAACAGTTCTTGTTCTCTAAATATCAGAAGTAATGCACACTGCATTTTAATAATATATATGTTTTTTCAAATTCTTTATGGCATGTCGATGAAAATGTAAGCCTACAGTAAACTCAAAGCCCCATCAAAATATTACCGTCTGTTCTTTTCTTCTATTGACAACACAAACAGATTTAAGATATATTTAATTAAAGCATTAGAAACTATTAAATATATCATGAGTGACAACATGTGGTAGTAGACACAATTAAAAAATAGTTACTTGGGTTCCTATTTAGCTGTCAAGTGAACTGATTTATCTGCAGTACATAAATGAATGTCAGATATAATCTAATGGTTTTTAATAGAAGAAAGCTTGACAAAATACTGGCAGAAGTTATTCTAGGTAATTATCCAGACTGCAATAATCTTAATAAGGACTTATTATATCTATTTACCTGGCCCCAAACAAAGGGGGAGGGGGCAGCAAAAAGATTCAGCTAGCCTAGGTTACTCCAGCTCTATAAATGTTTAAATCACTGAAGCAGCTCATTCACTTCTGCAGTGGGAGAAAACATGAAATTGATTAAAACAGCATAACTGCAACAGGAAGAGCCTCCTCCGCACTCAGTTTGGGAATGGAAACTTACCTAGTTCTCATGGTCCATTTTTGGTTTTTGTAGTTGGGGGTTTCTTTTGTGTGTTGGGGATTTTTTTGAGGGGGCATGGGAGTGGTTCTGTTGTTGCTATGAAGTTGTGAGTTCAGTGGATATTCTGTCGTTTAAAGGAAAAGCATCTCATAGAACAGTAGCATCACTGGGTTACTCCAGCATGCTTCTCAAGGTGTGGTGATCTTACTCCAGAACAGAGGCAGTAACAAGGAAGGCTTTAGAAGTCACAAATGACTGTTGTGTGCCCTAAAAATCTTCCTTTTGCCTCACGTTGACACGGATCATGATATAGGACAATGACTATTTTTCTCCTTCCCTCAACAATTCACAGAAGCAATTCCAAATAGCTGTCATAAACTGGAAGGAGTACCCCGACTTTGTCACACTTACAGTTTCTGAAACCTAAGTAAATACAAATGGAAGCCTCATGCAGATTTTCATATGTTAGTAAACATATAATGAAAAAACTCTTGCAATTAACATTATATAGTAAGTTCTATTGGAATAAAAAGGGTCTGTTGAACTTTTTCTTCCAACCTCACCTACTGCAATCTTCCACTGCTGAAAACAGTGGTGGGAAGCTTTTTGATCTGTTGACTCAGAAATATCCATCTCAATAACAAATAGAATGACCTGAACTTCAGATCAGCTCAGCACCAGTGTCACACAGTATAAAGTAAGAGGTCACCAGCAATCTATTCAAGAGGAGTTGGGTGTGATGCTAGACAGTTTGCCATAGTATTAAACTACAGACACGCAGCATTATACTGATGGTGGTGACAGGCAAGAGAAATATCCTGAGAAAATAGCTGTGATATTACACATGCACTTTCAGTCAAGGCATCCAGCCTAGTTGTTATCAAATTACTCTGTAGTAATTGCACTCCTGGTTTTCAAATGTTTTGCAATGCCCTGGAAGCACAGGTGACAAAGCTGTGCTATTTTCTGTTAGATGTGTTCAGTCTTTGGGTGAACTGCTGTGGACAGTTTTAGTACTGCCATTCAGTCCATCTGTGAAGTTCTGCAAGGATCACTTAAGGAAGAGCTTCTGCAGCTAGCAAAAATGTGCTGTTCCTTCCATATCAACATCTGCTACAAGACTTCCTTCCTCCCTCATAAAGCAAGTGCTTTTCATTTACAAGCATAGGCTACCAATTTTTGGTTTCTAAGGATTGATCTAATTTCTTGTGAACCTCTGAGAAAACCTCAGAAAGATTTGTCTCATAAGAATTCTGGTCACGTCTAATGTGTGGTACTTCAGACCTTCACCTGTGTGAGGCTGGAGTGTTAGTTTATGAGTTTTCACAAAATATTGGCAGACACAGGGAAATACAAACTCTGGTAGCTAGGGCTGATATTAAAATCTGTATGTTCACTCCCTCCAGTCTGCAGGAAGCTAAATATCTGTGATGTTACAAACCACTCAGAAAACAAGTTTTAGCTCTCCAGGGTGGCATGTGAAAAATCATGTTTGAGAACAAACATACGTGCAGATGATGTGCACTGAGAATATACAGATAAACAGTACAACTGTATTCTCCTTATCTCACTTGACCTTCAGACAACTGACATCCTTTTTAAAATACTTATACTTGAAATGAAGACCTCAGCTATTCTGTAGCCTTAAGTAAACTCCACAAAACCAAAGGCTGAACTGGGGGAAACATCACCAATGGTATGACAGGTTGGAAAGAGACATGGGAAATCAGGTACAGGAAAGGTATAAGAGAAAATGAATAGGGTTAAAGTACATCAAAGATTGATTAATTCCTAAAGAAGCTAACTTTTTGAAGAAAACTTCCCCTCTTATTACCTGCACACCTAACCAATAGCTAAGTCACAGTAGCTTTTCTGTGGATAACACAAATCCACATATTGAAAATATGGGAAATACTGACTTACAGAGACCATTTTTTCCTACTTACTACTTCTTTAATTTTATATGATAGGGACTATCTTAGAAAGAACTAAAACACTTGATGTATTTATATGTTTCATATATATGACTTAAAAGGATTCTCCTTCTCTAGTCAAGCCACATAGCAAGGCTTACAAATCTTCAGACCTTAAGGATTTAAACAGGATACTCACTCTATGTGTTTCCATTTCACATTAGCTCTGTAAGACACACTTAAGCTGGTGGATTTACTAACATGAACATTGGAAGCATACACACATATACAGTGAGTTGATTTGTCTGTGATCAAAGTTTTCAACCAACATTTAGGTCCTTTGCTTGAAGTTTATATTTTGGAAAGGTTTATTATGTCTCGGGAATTCTCTGTCAAAAAGTAAGATCTTGAGCGGTATAATCATCTTGAGAATATTGCCCTATAAAAAATAAATTTTCTAATTTTACTCTTTTTTTTTTTACTTCTACCATGAACATAATCAATTCCAGGAAAACAAATCAAACAAACCACTCTTAGAAATATTTGGGAGTGGTCTGATTTTTTTAATAAGTTATTTATTAATGATTCAATCTTCTAATAAAACTGTTATTTTATCACATTTCCCTTCACTTGATTTATGCAGCTGTGAAATAAGAAGAAAGTCCTGAAAGGTCTTTTTATTTCTTCCAGAGTATTGAGTAGCTCCTTATAGCAACCACTGATATAAAGGTCATAATCACTATCAGTTAGACTACAGGAATATTCTCACATCTCAAAAGTCTCCTTTCAGTACTTTTGTGCATTATTTTTGTGATGTGAACTAGATAACCTAGAGAGAGTTTTTTATTTGATTGTTCCAAGGGCTGTAAAACTGTACTGTAATGAACATTTCTCTTGGGGACATTTGGATGTAGCCGTTTTCCATGGCCTTTCCTTTGGTGATTTATTATATTCTTTCTTACCTATATTCACAAGCAGTTTTCAGATGCAGGGTACTACAAAGTTTTTTATAACAAAAGATAACAAAGAGGAGGAAATTTCTAAAATACAATTAAATCACAAATTGAATTTATTTAGGAAGCTGCTGCTCATTTTCCATTTGATTTTTTTTTTCTTGTAACAGCTATTCAGCTGTGGGTTTAATTTGATTTTTGATCTTTTGTCTGTACATTGAAATGGGAGTGGCATTTAAAGCTGATGCCTTCACAACAGATTTGTCCAGGTTTCATATGCTACACACAGCTTGGCATACTTTCTTCAAGCAGATGTTCTTTGAACCGTGCAGTTCTGAGCAGACTCAACAACAGTCCTTGCAGTTCTCAGTTTCTCTCCCCTTCACCTTTCTTAAAGGTTGAAAATTAGTCAGATATTAAATTAGTCCCACCAGGTATAAAGGAGTTTGCTTGTATTACTTAAGATCTAGTCAGGATGGCATAGGCTTTTGTATTAAATACAATTTTATGTTTCCTTGGTCTAATATCTAACTTCACTTTGTATTAGCAACTAGTATTAAAATAAGAAGTCACAGAAAAGATATATTTTCTTTTATCGTTTATTATAATACAAGAAAAACAAATCTAGAAAGCATATTTCATGGAGCACCATATTGTAACAAAATTTTGCTGGCTCTCCTGCAAAGTATATTTTTAACATTTAAGCAATGACAAACACATAGTCAGTACACGCAGGACCTACAACATGGTGATCTTATTAACTGACCCAAAGAGACCCCTCTTTCAAATACAGAAACTCCAAGGTGCACAGAGGAATGCCAGTGTGAGGGCATCTGAACGCTAACTGAGTTAATCACTCTTTTATTAGCGATCTTCATAAGCACACCACCCTCCCTTGTGTCACCCCAATCTCTCTTCTCCGAAGACTCCGAATGGGGCCCAAAGGTCACTGAATAAGGCTTTGTCACAGACATGGTGTCGACTTGAACAAAACTGGCCAATATTCCCTACCTGATACCTCTTATTGCTTTGGTTATAGTACTGAATGAAAGTCTTAAAAACTCTTAAACCTATACTCCACATCACAGAAAAGCCACTTTCACAGACACAGAAACACAGCTTCCCACACACGCCTGAATGCATAGCACTGATACCTTTTTGAGAAGCTTTATGGGTTTCACCACCAAGATCACCTTCCTAAAAATCACTGAATTTTGTTTTTCAAAGTGTTCAGACAGCTGTTCAACAATACACTTCACAATACATTTTCTTTTTTTTAATAAACAGGGCAAGTTTTCCTGCTGCCTTAAAATTATGTCATTGTCTACACAAGGAAAGAGCAAAATGCTATCATTGTCATCCATACAAAACATTTTACATTCCTTTTATACAGTGCTAAATACAGATGTTAAGAACAGAGAACAATGTAAAATGATAACCCAGAATAGCTTTTTACCTTGCTCAAAATGAAGAAGTACTGGAAGTTGCCCATACTAATGCTGAGACACAGTATTGGAGTCTCTATTATATACAGTAGCCTTCCAGAATACTTTCAGGCACCTATTTTGTGAGCTTTCGCTCAATATGTATGTCACACTGAAGCACCTCAAGTAATATGGTATAGTGCCCTGAAACAGTGAGAATAAGAGACAGAAGTAAATCCAGTCTCACAGCAGACGAGACCAGCTGTGAAGAACAAAGCTAGCAAAGCAGTAAAATTTCTGCCTGGACTCAAAACAACACACTGTTACAAAAATTTTTGTATCTGACATATGGCCACTTTTATCATCAGCTGAGGACAATTCATGAAGTTTAGTTTAAAACTTTTTCCATAAAATGTTTAAATATTGTCAAAAAAAAAAAAAAAAAAAAGGAGGTTATGTTTCTATCAACCATTTAGAAAATATTTTTTTTCTTTCCTCTAAGCTCATTTCTCTTTGAAGAAAGCCTTACTTTCTTGAACAGAAATTTTTGGGGGAAATTCAAGGATTTGTAAATTTTATTTCTGTCTTGATAATCAGTGAGGTTGTATTATCTTTAAGTTTTGGGTAGGAAAGTAATGCATATTACCAAAAAGGAAATTAAGTTTTTGTGCACTTTTTCTTGTGGAAAATCAATGTGGACTTCTCATTTATGGGAGCCAATTTTATAATTTCTGTATACTATGTGATGAACAGGCATCTATGAATTACAGGACACAATAATGGAAATTCAAAAGGAGAAAATGGACTTGACAAAAATTTGTAACTTTAGATATGCAAATAGGTATTAACAAATTGAATTACTAACTCAGGCTCTTTCCTCTGAACTAAAGGCATGTTTCAACACCTGTGCTAAATTATTGTCCAGCATTTCCCAGATAAACAGTTCAGACTTAAACCATATAACGAGGAAAAGAGAAAAAGAAAAGACCAGTTTAAGTTTTACAAAGGCTGTGGAGCTGCTATGGATTAAGAAAGTTTCAGATGACTGAAGAATAGGATATAAGGAAAAGATGTGCTGGGTATATCAATACATATTTTCACTTGGATTAAAGTCTACATCTTTACTGACCTAAGTAAAAGGACAATGTAGCAAAAATAAAAGAGATTCAGGGACAAGCAAAGAATATGGACCTGTATAAGAATATGAGTTATTGTTTGGCTTAAGAAACAAAGAAAAGGTACATAAATTTCTATATATATTTTATAATGACCAACATACAGAAGAAAAATTTGGATCGCTTCTGTTTATGGTGGTTTAGCATATAATAGCAAGAGATGAGAATGACATTGAAAAGCGGCCAATTTAAATTTGAAAAAAAAAAATCGGTTTTCTTTTGGTTTTCTTTGTTCTTAAACGTGATGTTTTTTGACTTTAGTAACCTCCACCTCACAAAATATTTATATTTCAAAACTCTGGATTAGCCTCTCATAGGGATGATGAGACATCAACAATCACTTCAGAAGAGGCAAAAATAATAAGGGCTGAAGCTAATGAAAGTTCTGTAAGTAACTATTGCACCTTCTCCTGAAGCATCTGATACTGCCAGAGGTAGGACACTGGATTAAATAAACCATGAAGTTGGGCTATATTACTGTTTTTAGGATATTAGGTTTAAAAATTTCAGTTATTTATCCCAGTTAGTCATGAAGAGCTATAACAATCTTCCACACTGAGCAGTGAGTTACAGTATTAATAATGAAGGGAGAACAGAAAAATTATTATAAAGGGTCTTAGACACCACTTATATGTGCATGCATATGTATATACTTACATAAAAATGTATTATATACATACAGATGCATACATAACTGCATATATATGTATACACACACAGAGATGCATGCCTTCTAAGCAATGGGGCTCACCAGGAGATCTGAAGATCATTCTTTACACCCTTCTGTGACACACATTACCAAACTGTGTGTGTGTATATGTTTAACAGTGTGTCAAGGAAAATGTGAGAATGGGAAGCACAAATCTGAGTATGGGAGAAATCACCCATGTTGCTGTCATTAATTCAGATCTGTGCTTGAAAACACATTTCCAAATTCCTTGTACATTGGCTATGTTGACCAACAACCTAGCAAGAAGAAATACAGCATATTAATGGGCATTGTGAAAATGGAAATATTTATGTATGTCAACACATCATATTCCTGACAATGGGCAGGATGAGAAATTAAAAGAACTAACTTGATATTCCCCACTTACTTTGTTTATATGTTTCATGTTTCTGCCAAAGTTGAGAGAAAGCTTGGATAGTCCATTTCCATATGGGTTTTCATTTTTCAGATCTAATGGGTTAGTTCATTGTAGATCTGCCTTTTCATTAGGCTTGATCAAATAATTTAGTTTTAGAAATACTTAAACTTAATGTATACTCTAAGTTCACAGTATCTCTTTAAATATAAGATTAATTCCTCAAACCCATTCGAAGGACAATTCTACCACCTTTTACACTCATTCACATTAATTCACACTATTTGTCCTCCCTGTTTCTCTTCTGGGAAGGTTTTTGAGAACATGAGTGAAACAGACTATCAGCTCATCTGTTAGCAGAATTGCAGCTAATCAATTCTAAGGCAACAAACAACTTAACCTGCAGATAAACTAACATGTAATCATATTCAGATAAACTAGCTTTAAACTAGTTTCAGGTATCTAAGATATCAAAAATCAGCATGACTACATTTAACAGGGTAAATGACAGGATAGGTTTCCATTTCAATGAGGTAACGCTGTGCATAAGTTCCCCCATCCCCAAAATACACCTGCAAGGTCATTATCTCAAATAAAAATAAAGGAGAGAAATAAGTTATTTTTTTAGAAGCTAAAAATTACCTTTAAGCCTATTGTTAGAGAGAAACAGATAGAGGTGGGGTAAAGAAACAGAGATGAGAACCAGAGAATATTGTTAAATGTGTGTTGTGAGCTCTGAGAACTACAGGTTTGGTTGACGTCAGCTGAGTTTTGTCTCATGATGCATACTCTAGATGGTTCTCAATGTTTTCTTATAAATAGTCTAACTATTTTAGTTTTCAAATGGTAATGGGATTATTGGATGTCCTTTGTCTTTTTGGTCCAACTCCACAAATTTTAACATCTTTCTCAGCATGCACAGGCCTGCATACCAGATACAAACATATAGGTAGCATTACACAGTTAATATGCTGTGCAGAGGTGTCCACAGAGAGTACAAATACCAGCAGACAATGGTTCATCTTGATCTGAGCAGCCAGTCTGCCTGAGCTATGCATTGCATGGTGGTTCCTGTAGCCCCTAAACAATAACTTCTCTACCAAGAGAGGACAATCACTACACTCCACTGCGTTTCTATGCAAGTAACTGCAAACTTCTTGCTCCTCCCATGTTCTCTACATTGGCCACAGAGGGCTAAAGAAGCATTTCTGAAATAATGCACAGCACTGTCTTTCCATGGAATGCCTTCCAAGCAGAAATGCTTCCTCTGGCTCACCCCAGAGCTGACACATCATGAGAGGGGTTCCTGGGAGACAGGTCTTATCTCACCACCCTTCCTGCTTGCCAGCAGCACCTTTTCACAGAAGCCTGTTCATCTCTTCTGTTCTATAGCAAGCACAGGAGTGGGATTTTTTTTCAGACAATGTTTCTGTGGAGCTAGATTTTTTTAAATTTTCTTTTCCTCATTAACAGTCACTTGAAATTGTTATCAAAAAGCTTGTGTTCTCAAAGCTTTTATTCAAACCAACACATTCTCTTTTTTTTCCCTTTTGCATCTCCTTAAAGGGACATATCTGTTAACATAACTTCTGTAGAGAATGGATTTCATCTTTTGCTGAAGTTTTGTTCCAGCCAAAGCCGAACTTCCTGCAGGTTGTAGAAAAAGGGGCCTTTGCCTCCCAGGTAGGCGATTTTTTGTCTCTGCACAATGCATACTCGCTCAAACGAAACCCCGTAGGCCACGTTGGCATTGTTGTCCATGCAGTCAGCCACCACTTGGCACTGAGGTGGCAAGGAAAAGTGTTCCAGAAGCTGGTGAGCAGCTGCACATCTCTCTTCCTGGTTCCTGTGTTTCTTAACTTCGAATGAAGAGGGAGAGATTCCAGGAGCAGCCCAGCCATCTGATGGGTGAGCTTCATCGATGTAGACCAACAGAAAGTCAGCCACACCAGAGAACTCCTCCACCAGCTTGCTGAAGGCTGACAGCTGGCTTGTAAACGGTGGTCAGGTAGCTGAGCCGAAGTTGACCACCAGTGGCCGCTCAGAGTTGGCAAAGTCCAGAAGGTGGCATTTGGTTCCACACTTGCCACCAACATTCTTCCAGCTGCTACTGCTACCATCACTGCCCTTGGCTATGTGGATTACACTGGAGTTAGGGGCTTCTCCTCCCAGTTTGACCTGATGGCAGAACAAATTAAAACATAGCAAGTTAGTGTGACTTGCCTGTGCAGTATCCTCATGACTACTGTCTTCCAAAAGCACACTTAACTAGCTGCATGGACAGTAGCGTGGGGATATAACAAATCACCAAAAGCAGCAATTTAAAAAAGTTCATCTAGCCCTCCTCCACTCACAGTTTAGGGAAATGTAGCATTCCTGACAGGCATTAATGTTAAAAATCTTGATCAGAGAAATGTTAAATATATTAGAAAATGTGATCAAATTGTCTTGTCTTGTCCACTACACACAAAGCCCTGTCCACCCTGATGTATTTGGAGACTTTCAGACAGATTACCTCAAATTTCTTCTAATTTTCCTTTGTGAGACAAATTTTCAAGACAGGATTTTTTTTCACTGACATTTTCAATGAGTTGTCTCCACTTAGTTCACATCTTTCTTGAAGTGCAGTGTTCAAAACTTCAGCAGTGTATTTACCAGTTCTCAGAACAATCATACACGTAATGGAGTAGCTCACAGGCTACACCTGTTTATACATTCTAGATGTTTACTTTTTATGAGACATCATGGTTGTTTTGCAAAAAGAGTAGACTGTTGATTGGGGATTAACTAGTGAAATGCCTAGCTAAAAGCTAAAAGCTAGTGAAAAGCCTAGGTTCTTTTTCTACCTTTCTAGTTGCTTCCCATCATGGATTTGTGTACTTCATCAGTCTGAATTTTATCCTTTGCACTCAGCCTCATTGAACTGAATTCTACATTTTAAGCCATTTTTCCAATTCTCAAAAATCATTCTGCATTGTATTCCTGATCTTCACAACACATGCAGTACCTCTCAATTTTCAGAGGTTTGAAAATTTCATCTTCCATCCTGCAGTCCAAGAATGAAAATACTCAGAGTACCAAACGAGAGATCTCTGAGATTTTTGCAGATGTCCACTCATTGTACATTCTGTTTTGCCAGTGGACCATCCAGGATTTCACTGTCTAAAATTTCTTCTAACCAATTTGCAGTAATTTCATCAGTGACTGAGAGACACATTTCCTTATAGTGCAGTGATTCTTTACAATATGACTGGGGGAAAAAAAACCAGTACAAAAAGGCAAAAGTTTATGTGATGGTTGAAGTATGATGAGTTGAAAATAAACTGCTCTATCAGCTCCAGCTCCAGATGTACCTTGGACACAACAGGCAGTTGTGGAAAAATTTTGCTTGACCATTTCTACTTGCATATCTAAAGAAAAAAAAAGGCAGAATTTAAGCATCTCACAGAAGGGAGTGCCAGAATAAGGTGGGGCCTGCAGAGGGCTCCAAGATCCTTAGCTGATAACTACTGTAGAACCGCAACACATTATTACATAACACAATTAGTTTTTAATGAGCTCTGCTACAGCAATTCCTATGTATCTGCCTTTAACATCAAGCTCTAGTACAACAATGCAATTATCCTTTGTATTTCCCTAACTCTTTCGCTCTCTATACACTATTTGATTATGTTCAGAAGTCTTGCTTGGAAGGAAACACACAGGGCCAAATTCAGAAGTCTTTCACATTTTATGAATTTCTTTCTGAAACTACAACAATTACAGTCTATAGAAGTTAATGTTAAATGAGAACTGTGTAAAAACTGAATAAATAAGTGATTTTTGGTGCACTTCTATTTTACACTACATTATAGGGTATCCTAGTGAGTCGGATACAGTAAGAAACTGAGATAACAGCTGAATACTGAACTCATGCAGTTGCTGCTGCACATAGATCCAAAGGTAAGTAGATTGTTCACACTGAATCCTCCATTTCTCGCTGAGAACCTGACTACTTCGAACAAATCTACAGTTATTCGTGACTCTGAACTATTTCATCAGAATAGCAACAGAAGCAAGAGTCTAACCAAAGCAAAGTTTGAAAGACACAGTCCTTAAAGCTGCCAGACTTCACAGCTATATGAGGTCTCAGGGAATGTTGTCACACAATATAAGCATTATTTTTACTATTTTCTGTGAGGCAAATTGAAACAACCATGCTGACATTCTCACTCAGAGATCAGCATGTGAGTCATAGAAAGAAAGACAGCCTGAGACCCACAGACCTTGCCATGTCAACTATGTGATCATCATGCCACTGGAAGCAGAGGATGTGCTGCTTCACCACAGGCAAGAGAAGCAAGTGATGGCCCAGGAAAGCACAGCCAGTTGTGCCCCTGTCCCTGAAAACCTGTGCCTGCAGCATTGCTCTCTGCTAGAGCCTGGTAACAGCTTAAAAAAAGCCTTGTGCTTCTTTGCCTTTGAAAGCAAGAGGCTTCGAACAACTGAGTTTAGGACCTGCTGTGTGAGTGTGCTGTCCACTGAACTCAAAGAAAGAAAAGATCTCTATCCCAGTTTTCAAGAAGAAATGACCTATCTGGAAAGAGGCAGACTCAGAGACTCAGGCTCTTGCATTTAAGAAGCAGCATTAAGCATCTTACAGTGTTTAAGGCCACCTACACCTTAGCAGGTAGCAGGTATTCTTCTGTTCAGCTGTTGATCACTTCATTTCTCTGTGCCATTCTGTGAAGTAAGATAGGCAAATCAGGAATGAGTAAGGTAAAGGGCCACACTTGAACAAAGAAATACACAGTTCAAGATCATGTGGCATCCACATAACCATCCTCAGGAATGCATTCAATCCAGAACCCATCTAAACAACTCAGCATTTTGTGATAATTTGGTGACTATGAAAAAAAGGCACATCCCAAGAAAAACCATGTGCATATCTGCACAAACTCTAGATCTATCTTTACCTAGAAAGCTTAACTGTTCCTGCACTTCCACGTAAATAGTTTTTCAGAGCTAGCTTGCCCAAAATGTGCCTTTTGGGCAAAGCCTGACATGTAAGTATTTGTGCTGCACCCACTCCCTGGATGAATAATGGACCTCAGTATTTAGAAGTGTGCGCTCATCCAGTCAAAGAAAAGAAGTAATGGCATGTTATTCATCTCACAAATCACAATTAAGAAGCACACTTTGAATTTCTGATATTTGCTGCCACTCTTCAGAGGAAAAGAAAAATAAAGGCAAAAAGAAGCACATAAAACTCAGCAGTGAACAGAGTTGCTCAGGACAAAAGAAGCACCTGAGCAGCTATTTCTGCTTACTCTTCTGGTTTTATTTTAAGAAAACTATTGTGACTGAAAATATCTGGCCAACACTCTTGAACTGGGAAACCACAATTTGCTCCTTGGTCATCTTTAAGCAGAAAGAGAAGCTATATATTTTAAGTTCCTCATTGTCAACTCCTCACTCAGGTCTACCGAATGCTTGATTTCCTAGGCAAGTTTGCAAACCCTGAAGGAATAGACTAATAAAACAACTTCCATAAGACATCAACTTGGGAATGCCCTTCAAATCCTATTTAACATTGATACCAAAGGTGGCAACATATTTCACTGTTCTTCAACAATGCAAGTTTGCATTCTCTCATACTCCTTATTGACTAAAAAAATAGAGATTGAGGAAACAAAGTACAAAGAAACCCTTATACATCTATACAACTATACATCACCTAGTGTCAGTTTCTCTTCATTTCCCACAGTCATGAAGTAAGTCCCATGGCCGCAGGTTACCTATCATTTTAATTTTTGTTTCTAGGAGTGCTTGTGATGGATTTTTTCCCCTTAATGAGACATCCTTGCCAAGCAGGCATTCACGAGGCATTTTCTGCTCTTGTAGAGAAGTAATTAGGTCGGTGCCTTGTTCCATGCCAGTGTCAGGCACTCCAAAAAGCAGCCCTGCCCAGTCGTTAATGCTTAAACATAAGCAGCAGCGGCATCTCCACTAATTGGTCTTGATGAAGCACTGACGTTCCCAAGAGACTGTTTATTTCACCAGGCTCTGAACCGATTGACACAGGATGACAATATCATCCTTGCTGATCATCTGCATTGTAGGCCTTGGCCGTCTTCTTTGTTGTTATTTATTGAAAGAAAAAATAGCTCTTGGAAAAGAAAATCAATGCAATGAGAAAACAAACAAAAACCCCCATGTATTCAGCCAAAACGCTTTTGAAATCTTACACAAAAGCAGGCAAAATATAAATTCTGAGAAACAAACTAGCAGAATTCCCCTCACACGCAATCCAGCATTTCCATAGTCACGTACTTTTGTGCGTGAACATTTGGGCATTCGGTGCCAGCCTTCTGAATGAGGTAGAAACCAGGCAGCACGCAGGCATCCCCTCCCACACAGCCTGCATGGGACACGCAAGGTAGGCCAACCAAATCTGAGAGCCAGCCCAGCCATCAGCAAAAGCAATCACCAAAAGTAGTAACTCTCATCATTTGTGAGAATTTTGCGTTTGCTGGACGGCTTGTTCTGAGTCTGCATGCAGAGTGAAAAGGGAACAAGCTTGCTGATGCTTTAGCACGCAGTCTGCAAAATGAAGATGTAGGAGCAGGAGAGAAAGCCCTATTCATAAACTGCAGGCTAGAAATAGCACATACTGCTAACTTTGTGGTACATTCTTCATAAGGACTGGGTAAAGCCCCATGGACAAAACATCGTCTGCTCATATACCTTTCCTTTTTTCTTGTTTTACTTTCACCAACTTCAGCATAACCTTCCTTATATCCTGTGCACTGGAACACAGTTTTCATTCCCTGCATCAGGGATTTTCAAGCAATTTGGCAGACTTAACAGTCTGGGTCAATTTGCACCTAAAGAAAATAGGTGTTGCCAGACAATTAACAGTGATATTAGTCATTTAAGTATGGACATGCTATGTTTGGGACTGCAGAGCAGCTAAGTGAACTAAACCCCCTGAGCCTTTTGCACTTTTTCAAATTCTCTGCTTTGATTTAATCCCAGTTAGCTAGATATATTCATCCAAATCATAATCAGACTCTGGGTGGAAAATTTATACAAACTATTAATTTAGTCTTTATTTATATGACCCAGAGTTGTACAATTGATAAAAATCACAGGAGACCCTGGTCTGGAGTAGCGTAGGGGTGCAGAATCTCTTCATT